TTGACTTATAATTAAGAATGACTTAGGAATTATTCCTCTAATATTCTACCTGACCATGCTAATGCCGTAGAAAGGAGTACTTTGAGTGATTTATCATTATCATTGATCAATACTTATATATATATATATATATTATTATCCTATGACTTGCCCCTGTTATGAGTAGAATATTAGTTATGGTTTACTTCTCCTTCAATAGTATAAGTTATCAATACATGTCCATGCTAGATCTTCCCTGTGGTAAAAATATAAATAACGATACCTGAAATACTCTTGGGTAAAATGCTATAATGGTATATTATTTATGCGCTTGTAGATCCTTTTCATTCATATATTTATTCTTCCTAGTCACATAATTAATAAAGAACTGCTTAGTATTATTCTAGTAGTAATGCTATGTAGTACCAATAAGTATCTCTGCTATCATCACTAGGGATGACAACGTAGTAAAATTAGGAGATATAGGTTTATAATAGGTGGCTATTTAAAAACAAGTGACACGTTAATAAATACTGACAAGTATTTTTGGTGTTGTTACTAGGGACTAGATTTAAAATTCTGTTCTTAGTAGCGACGCTAAGAAATGTCAACAATCCTCCAAAACATGAACCCGAGAGCACAATACTCCACCTCCCTACGCCGCTACTAGGGACTAGATTTAAAACTTTGTTCTTAGTAGCGACACTAAGAAATATCAACAATCCTCCAAAACATGAATCCGAGAGCACAGTACTCCACCTCCCTGCGCCACTCCTGGTGGACTCATAGGATGTGTTTACGCTACTCTCACTATCTCCCACACCTAGTGCGCAGTTGTCTTTTCACATAATGGAGTAGTCGTGGTATCAGGCTTACCGGAGTATGTGGTCAGTACTACAAGGTTTCGACTCACAATAGGTCTACAACGGTACATTCCTTAATCGACACAGATGGGATAGGCATGACTAGACGAACCTAACTGTCCAACACTTACCTTAACATTGATTCCCCCGTCTCAATTTAAACATTATTATCATCATGGTATTCACACGACCCATAACGGAGCCGAGAAGAACAAGGTAAAACCTATTTCCCATGAACGATGAAACCATCATTCAACTTCTATCGAAGTCTAAGCATTACTAAGCATCAGGTGATACGACCTACACATACTAGCAGGGTACAACTAAGGATACCCGAATACCAAGGTAATCATGCAGCAATGGTATTCGACCAACTCCTAAGTACTTAATGCACATCTCACAAAACTTAAAGTGTAATAAAGATTTGTAAATACTAGAGAAGGGTTTATGCTCTGGGGCTTGCCTGCGTTGCAGAGAAGGTTAGATCCCACATAAAGATCTCGAAGTTAAACTTGGCACCAACACCACTGGTGGATGGACCTTCTCCGAAACTTGATCAACACGAATCTTCTCACTCTCGTGAACTACACGTAATAAGATGATGCACGCTTAACATGATGGAATACATGCCATGATGCATGATGAAAGACACACAAGTGCATAGCAGAACTTAAACTAATCTAAAAAGTGAAATACAACTTTCCTTCGTGGTACAACTAGGGTTATACTTCACAAAGCATTTTTATTTATTTAACTAATAAGTTTGATTAGTTGTTATCCTGGAAGCAACACTTATTATATTATACTAGCCAAGCAAGATAAGGTATTTAACTAACATTACACGAAGTTCAATCATGAGGGCAAGCAAGGATCATCCCATGATCCAATCACATGCACTTACTAACTAGTCATTTGAGTAGACTAATTTATTTATTAACTAACAAGTTAATTATTTATCTATCATGAAAGGATTAACTTAGCATGGACCAACAAGAAGTGGTTAACATTTTCCTTAACTCATGATCATTATAAAGAATTATAAAACTAAACATTTAATTAAACCATTTTATTTATTATATAACCAGTTGATTCAAAACATATCAAGCAAGTAATTTCATTGCCAAGGAACAACAGAAGTGTTTGTGTCCCAAGGTCTACAATCAACTCCAAAATACAAGAAAGTCATTTTAAGAATTTACAGAAATCATTTTAGCATTTATTAATTAAAGAAAAAGGCATTTAAACATACTTAAATTAATTATCCAATTTAGAATTATCAAAACAGGACCAAACTTTTTGTGAAGGTAGGAATAAGCACATAACATTACACAAAAAGTTTCATGATTAAAGGATTAATATTTTTATTTATAAAAATCATGGAAGATCCATTTTATAATTAAAAGAGTTAATTTTTAAGCATACCAAAACTACTTAAAATGATCAATTCATATTTTTCCATGGCAACAAATTTCATATTTTTCTCATACTCCAGTAATTCATTATGAAATAAACCAAATTAGCATCATTTACTCATTTTCTGAAAAAGAATAAATCGACCCAGCCTTTTCTCACCCACACATAGCCAGCCATAGAGGCTGACACGCAGGCCAGGGTCAGCGCACAGTGCCGCCCGCGCGCGACCGCGGATGCACGGCGTTGACCGGCGGGTGCTTGTCGCCAGCGAGGTCTTCGGCGACACGGATTACCGCAGCGAGATCCCCATCAACCCCCGCACCCTACCATGCTACCGGTTGAGCGAATAGGACTCCCCGGCGAACTCAACGCCGGCCGTGGCAGCTCGGCGGCGCCCCGACACGGCGGAGGTTGCCGTCGGCGAGTTCTCCGGCCACAGGGAGGTCACCCTCGCACTCCCCACACTCTTGTGAACGCATCTACGTTACTGGTTGAACGTTCTAAAGCCAGGAGCGAGCTCGACCGTAGCCATGGCGGCTACAGGCCCTAATTGGCCTAGCTAAGGCACGTCACGGCTCTGCGGTGCTCACCTTGACCTGACCGGCTTGATGGTTGAAGCGGGCACGGCGCAGGCGCGGCTGCCGGCGGGAAGGATGACGACGGCGGCGTGAACTGGGCGGTGAGCTCTCGTTCCGTCGCGTCTTGTAGATAAAAGGAACAACCGGCAAGCCTGTGAGCATCACGGCATCACAGGGAGTTCAAAACAAAGGTTGGGAGAGAGTGAGCCGCAGCGAGGCGTGCTGGCCACGGCGAAGTGGAGCTCGGCGGTGATGGCGACCCGCCGTGATAGGAACAGTGCACGTTGGTGATTGTGGTGGCGAGAGGCGAAGCGAGTGGTTCGGGCGGGTGCGCAAGGAGCAGGAGGTTCTGCGAGCAAGAACTATTGGACAGGGGTGCTACAGCGGCGACGAATTTCGCCGATGGCGGAACGGCCTGGCGGCGGAGCAGGAGGGGAAGGAAGAGGAAGAACGGCCGGCGGCGCTGGCTTAAGATGGCGAGGGCGACTTCTCTAGCTGCGCCAGCACCTGCTCGTGCACGCCACCGAAACAGCTGCGTGGCTGTGCACGTGGAAGCGGCTAAGGAGGGCGGCGGCCACCGGCGCCGAAGCAGCTGCGTGGCACAGCTACCGCCTACTGTTCACGACTGAAAGCCTCATCTTCTTCTCCTTCTTTCTCTTGATTCCGTGCAGAAACTTGATCAACTCCATTACTTAAAGTTGTTAAAATATGCAAGCTCTCCAACTTCACTTAAGGAACCCTCATCAGAAGATCAATAGATTTTGAGATTTTGAATTTCGAATAAGGGTACAGTGAAACTGAATGACTGGATTCAGTTTCAGGTTTTGAAACAATTTTGAGTAAGCTACTTTGAGCAATTAATTAGTGATGAAGCATGAATCAAACGTTACAACCAATTACTCATTATCACAGATCAAACATAGCATCAAGCAATGGAACAAAGTTTGGATAAATTTTATTCATGAAAATTCATTTAATAAATTCCCCAAAATTGAACTTAAACACTGTTTTCAGAGAGAACCCAAATGGCTAAGTATGAAATTCAGCATCCAGTTCCATCTTTGGGCTCAAATTTAAACATATTTAACTTAGAAACATTATCAAATTTTGATTCCACATGAAAACACACACATTTCAAATTTAAACATATACTACAAAGTTTATATTACCAAAATTTTAATTGTTTAAGCAGATTCTCATATAAATTCACAAAGAACCTTAAGTAAACACATTGATGACATTTCATATGACATAAAACACATCATAAGCAACACATTCATACTAGAATTAAAACATGAAATGCATCTAGGTTACAATGCTTATGCATGATGATGCTCATGATCAAGATTTTAATTGCTTTCTAACATCTGGGATGTTACAGGAAGTGTGAGTTATGAAACCCGCCACAACTGCAAGAAATTAGGCTGCTCCGTTGGCAGTGAGGCATTGTCGCTGTTTGGACCCATTAAAATCAGATTTTCGGTCGCCAACCGCGAGAATCCCCCCGAATGGTCTGCACTGTCCGTGATTCTTTTGACTGCGCAAGACACCAGGACCACGAGATTGAACGGCTTCGTGGATTTCCCAGTACCGGCTGCAAACCGCGATCCGGACCATTCCTTTCTTCCCGAGCATAATACTGTACGACTGGGAGGGGGGTAGTGATGTTATAATGGCAAGAGCAACATCAAGGCAAACATTCGCCGGCGAGTGGCGTCAGACACAAGCGACAAAGATAGGTTTTACCAATGCATGCAGTCATCTTAAGATTTACAAAATACATTGTCAGAGCTCATTTAACCACAAGAAGCTGCGCTGAGTGCATTACTTCAACCAGACACAACCAGTCATCTTCAGATTTATGGTGAGAGCTCACATCTACTGATATAAATCTAGGAGGTAACGCCAGGTCAGTTAAAAGAGAGAATCAAAGAGAGATTTATATGCAATACTTAAATTGTTTGCTACTTCTCTAACATCAGCAATAATCCCCAAAGCTTCAGGGCTAGCTAAGTTACCACAATGGCATAGGATACTGATACATGAGATTGTCAGATAGGCAGCTGAAAACTGTTCCAAATGCAGTTCCTGGGGCAGATCATCACGATGCATCGATCAGTCCCAAAATGCACAGTTCATTACTTGTCAATCAAACGGGGCAGAAACATCAATTATTTTCTTTATTGACAGAATAGCTTGGACTTGGTGGGTCACTGACCGCATCGAAGTCAATCTTTCGACAAATGCCTGGGCTGAGTTTTAAGACTTTAAGAGATGGTATCAAAGGTGCATCTGGGCATGTGGATCCAATGCCAGTAAGTAGAGGCTTCAAATCAGGTGTCTTGCAGCTTTCATGTAAGCTTGGATCTGTCACGGTCTTTCCAGTTTCTTCCTGACGATCTAGAGGGCCATCTAGAATCAATAGATCCAGGATCATCTTGTGAATCACTTGGAGATATTGATCCTCCTCGTCAGAATCAGTCCAATCAAAACTTAACCTTTTGACCATGTAGTCACCTGAATCGAAATTTAGCTTCCTACGAGGTGGAACTTCAACGCATCTAGTCACTTTCTTCTTTGGTGCACAGGCCGCTTCTTCTTGTCCTGTAGCAAATGGATCAAAGATGCTTTCACGTGGTGTTTCACAACCCAATGAAAGACTATCATCTGAAGCCCTGCTAGAGATCAACAATTCAAGTATATCTCCCCTTGGAGAGATGGCCTCAGGAACATCAACCTTATTATTTTCAAGATAACAAATTGTACCAAGGCATTCTTTGTCTTCCTTATTTTCCAAGGGAACTAGCAGAAAGGGTTCCTTGCTCAAATTCATTTCCATCCTTTCTATGGTTATTGAATCACAGCCCAAATTTTGTGAGGATTCAACCTCACTCTTAACCACTACATGATCTGGTAGTGATATGGACTCAAATCCCATGATATGGAAAAGAATATTATTGCAGAACAAATGTTGACACAACAGTGATGTTTAAACTGTCGTTTTCAGTCAACCCACCACTGATCTTCAATATATACCAGTGCACTACAACCTGCAAAAAAAAACAGATGGTACAAAACTCAATTCAGGATACCAAACAAATTATGCACAAGCACAAACATGAGAAAATATATGAATGCAAAAAGTATTAGTATGTATACCATATGTCAAAACATATATGTTTCAGGCTCAACAATTAATATATGCTGTATGGGAATTATGAACTAAGGCAAACAAGCATTTTTCTTAACCATGTTTATTTTAATCAAAGATGTAACCCCACAATTCATCACTAATCCCAGTGTTTCCATAAGCAGCTAGCAAAAGTTAAGAGAAATCCTAACTGCATTTGAGATAAATTAAGTCTTTGTTTCCCACATTTAACACCCTTTATTATTAGATTGGGACAATCCCTTGAGCCTCGAAATGAAAATAAATAAATAAAGAAGCTATTCACTCATCAATCAAGCTCAACTACGGATACAGGAATATGCCTTTATTGTTGACCGTAAACTTTTGAAAATCGACAACAATTAACAAATACTGGAAGCATTTTCTAAAGGCCCTGACATGACATGAAACAAAATCACAGTCGTTCATCTTCAGATAACATTCAGGTCCGAGCAAAAGATAAATCCACTGGCTATCCTAAGAGCATCTCTAACAATGCCTATAAAATGGAGTCCAAAAAACACGGTATTAGATCCTTGCCAAAAAAAATATTGGGTGTGAAACGCTTCCTCCAAGAGTGGTCCTATTTTTTGTTGCCAAAAACTTTGAATCGTGCCACATCATTCCAGGTGGTCTCTCCTTCCTTTGGACCAGATCAAAGTGTCAGGGTTTTTTTTACTGCGCCCGGCAAGGTCCACAGCCAGCCGGCTATGCCAGGCCCAGCCAACGAGCAGCCAGACCTGTAGTAAGTTGACAATACTTGAACTGAAACAAATATTTTCACAATACTTGAACTGCATATTACTTCTTCAACTTAAATTGGTCCATCACGTCATGGGTACTCGGTGCTTCCCATGGATGTTGAATCACATGGAGGCCATGAGTAGCAGAGTTATTGACATTAGTTCTAATGCAGGATATCATCGCTGCAACTACAGACTGAACTTGGTTACAGCGTTTTGGTTCTGAAAATCTAGTCTCTTTTCAGAGTGTTTTTACTAGTACCAGTCCAGTTGAAAGAGAAGAGGCAGGAATGGAGTCATGCACGGATGGGGGATTAGCCACTCTAGTTCATCAAATCTCTATTAAAAAAAAAACATCTCGTTTCAGCAATCATATCATATCTACTGCAAAGGAACACGAACTCGTGGGGCTAATACCTTCATGGTGTGAAAGAGAAGAGACAATATCTAAAGCAATACCTCGGGGGCAGCTACTAGTGGTGGCTGCAGTGTGTCTGAGACGGCGACACTGGCGAAGGACGACCTCGTGGTGGCGGCGGCGACGGGTGTGCAGGCCGGGGGGTACCGACAGCGCCTCAGACGAGGATGGAGCAGCTCGCCGCCGTCAGAGGAGAGGACACGCTGCTGCGGGCGCGCCGCGAGGAAAATGCGCGCGAGGACGATGGCAGGCGCGGAAAATGCGCGCGCCTTCAATTTTCGAGCAGACGCCAAATCCCCGATTGGGTGTGCGCCCGTTGGGCGCAAATATGCGGCCGAGAAAGGAGGGATTTTGGGCCAGCGTTTTGGTGGAGAAATTTAGATTTTCGTTGAGCATCTCCGAGCCGAGGTTCCAATAAAACACGTCCATATAGGAAATTTTTTTTCATGAATGAAAAAAACTCATCTCCGATTTCCAATCTCACCTCTCAACCTTTCCGCGCTTTAAAAAATAGACTGATTATACGGATATATCCACGCGTGGGAGATGCGCGTATCCATCGGTGTGGAAGGGCGTGGAGAGAAAGAATCTATAAAATGACTCCCAATTAAAATTGTCTTCTATATTTTACTAATGAATTATTGAAAAACGTTTACTAATGAATTATTGAAAAACGTTAGAGATAATCTTATGTATTCCTCTCAATATGTTTTGGTGAGTCGGAAAATTCCATAGTTTTAGGAAAAAAATGTTGGGAACTCTTGGAGATGCTAAGTGGAGTAATTTCTTCGGAACACCATTAAGTAAAGTGTAGATGTACCATATTGTTTTTATTTATCGAACATACATGAGTGCTTAAAATACCATTTCATGAATTTGGTATTCACTTAATCTAATTTTAGTAAAAGGAGTGATACGGACTTTCAATTTTGCCCGTAAACATTTCATATTATTCTTTTTCTCACTCATCTCATTCTCCCTGTCTATGTCTACCCTCCTCTTATTCTCCATAGCTCCACCACGACCCACCCCTCGCCTACCACCTACAACTCCCTGATCCTCGGGTGCATATGCCGTTGTCTCCATAGGCCAATGTCGACTCCGCCACCACCCTGAGGCCACTAGTGCCCCTACCCCGCCAACATGCATGCACTAGCAAGAAGAAATCATGCACTACATGGCCGTGTGGGAGCGACACGTGTGGGAGGATGGACGGCCGCGATGGCCAAGAAGCACGCACGCTTGGAGCGCCTCCACATCGCCTCGCCTTCGCCAGGCGCCAGGCCAGGGGAAGGAAGGAACGAGGAAGAAGGATTGGCACCGCACATGGGGCGCATGTAATTGGGCGTGCCGCTGCTACCGTTAGCCTTTCCCATCCCAGTGGGCACCGCGCACGGCGCACACAAGTCTTTTAACGAAGATTGATTCGAATTGTAATTAGAATTGAAGTTCGAATTACCTTGCGCACGGGACTGGTTATTCCACCCGTTATTATCTTGTGGTTGGCGAAACGCGTTGTTGATGAAGACAGCTTCTTCGCGGGTTTTGGGGCAGTCATTCCCCGAATGGCCAATGTTTCCACAGACCTCACACGTCATATGTGAGTCCAAGGCCTGGACGGTGCCCTTCATTGCTTCTTTGTCTTGGGCTCGTTTCTCCAGTCTTTTCGTCAAAAGATCTATTTTTGCGGCAAACATATCCGTCTCCTTCATGGTATGCATATCTTTTTGTGATTTTCTTTCTTCCCCAGCTTTGATTAGACACCATTTTATTGATGAGAGTCGTGGCTTCATCAATGGTGAGGGAAAGGAAAGCGCCTCCAGCTGCTACATCGATGTGCCTCCTAGACATGTTTGTTAATCCATCATAAAAATTTTGGTGCACTAACCAGTTTTCAATCCCGTGGTGCGGGCATGCTTGGATGTAGTCCTGCAGCCTCTCCCACGCCTCGAGAATGGATTCCGTGACGGTTTGCTGGAAGTTGAAGATTCGTAACCTCAGGGCATTGGTTTTGCCCATGGGAAAGAATTTAGCGAGGAACGTCGTGGAACATTTGTCCCACGAGTTGACAGCTTCCCGTTCCTTGTAGAACCACTATTTTGCCCTCCCCGAGAGAGAAGGGGAACAAGCGGAGCTTGATGCTCTCTGGTGCAACATCCTTGATGACGATGGTGTCGCACAACTCGAGGAAGCGTTGGAGATGCGCGTTCACATCCTCACTTGACAAACTAGAGAACTGGTTTGCCTGCACCATCATGATAAGGCCGATGCGGAGCTCGAAGTTCCCGTTCCCAGTGTTGACAGCCCGCCCAATGGGCACGTTGGCAACAGCGGGGATGGAGTAGTCGTAGAGTGTCTTGGCCATGATTGGAGTAGCGGATGGTGCGGGGATGACTAGTTCGTCTGTCGGTGGAGTGGCTGAAGAAGACGTGGCACGAGACCTGTTCTTCCTTAGGAGTGCCTCCGGATTTTCAATGTAATTGTTCGAGAGATCGTAACCGGTCATACACTATCCTGTTTTCATCCACAACAGGAGAAACCAAGCAAAGTTAGCCTGCATAAATAATGGCAACCTTACATACATATTATCATGAACATGTCCTACTAGATTTTTTAATCAATTATGCATTCCCAGCAACGACGCCAGAAATGCTTGTTGACACTTCTTAGCGTAGCTACTAAATTTGTATCCCCAGTAATAGCGCCAGAAGTGCTTGTTGGCATTTCTTAGCGTCATCACTAATAATTAGCAATGCCACTAAGTAATAGCATTGATAGTTCCTTAACAATTTTAGATATTTATCTGCAAGCGCATGGAGCTATCATCGTAGCATTTTACCCGGAAGTATTTAGGGTATAGTTATTTATATTTTCCCAAAGGAAGACATTTGATTAAGAGTCTAGTATGGATATGAACTTGAATAATAATGCTTGCAAGTGCACCCATGTTCATAGCAGGGGTAAAAACTGTAATTTCTCGATAGTGGACACACACTTGGCATTCCTCCAAGGATAAAATAAAGAGAAAGAATAAAAAATAATCTAAGTCGAGCAGGCATTGGTCTAGTATAGTCATACAAAGATTAGTTAATGATCATACAAATTACATAATTAGTTTTATGGCTAAGTATGCAGCAGGTCGGGAGGCCACCGAGTACTGGTCTACCAGCAACCTCATGTGATAATTTAGACTCCTACACCCAAACGAACGTGGGGGATTACAAGGGACGGATAGGGTTGTCACCACCTGTCACCATCCACCTCAACCGTAGAGAGGGAAAATGCATTCACCTGTCTCTCCATACCCAAGCACCACGCTTGCGTATACAAAAACTACCCAAATCCCCCCAGGTCCCCCGACCCTACGGATCGACAGGTAAAGGACTTGAGCACACCCGAAAGCACGATGAACCGCCACCTCAACTTAGCTCTAATTCTGATTATATAAGTTATATGAGTAGGTAAGCATAAATTCATGTATGCTACTTTCATGATATACAAACTATAGACTAGTTCATATATCAAGATCATAACACAGTGACTATACTTTAGTTCATAAGTATGACAATAATTATAATATGAGAGCATAGCTTTGGAAGAACTCATAT